GCACCACAACAAAGAGTAGCCCCCGCTCGCCACAACTAGAGAAAGCCCTGGCACAGCAACGAAGACGCAATGCAGCCAAAAATAAATAAATAAAATAAATAAATTTAAAAAACCAACAAAACAAACAACAAAAAGACCCTGATGCGTTGCCCCAGTGTTGGGAGATCGGTGAACACAAAGGGACGTGAATCCCACACAGCACTAGGGAGTGGTTTATACACGCCTCTTCAACTATGCAGCCCCTTGTTTACATAAACATCTTTGCAAGCCTAGGAAGTAAAAAGCAATGAAAGAGGAGAGGTGAAGAGTCTAGGGGTTCTACCAAAGCCCTCAGTTGGGTTCTGCAGAGTTCTGTTTAGAAAGCAGTGAACCTGGGGATGGGCATTGGTAAGTTTTCTCAGACAGTGTTTCTCAACTGAAAGCCTGTTTTGTGTTTGGGAGATCTAGTTAGGATACGATTTTGGCCACTGTAACAAAGGTCAGAATAACAGCGACTTAAGCAGAACAAGGTAAAAGTTAGTGTTTCTCTCTCATGTACTAATTGACCATAAGCAGCGCCCAGGGCTTGTGGCAGCTCCTGGGTGTTAGAGACCAAGGCTCCTTGTGTCTTGCTGCTTGCCATCCTCAGTAGATGGCTTCCACCTTGTGGTCTGGGACAGGCTGCCAGTATCCATCAGCACAGCCACATCCCGGCGGGCAGGGTGGGATGAAGAGGGACTGGATGACAGGCTCATCCCCGCTCAGGCCCTGGCCCGGATGCTGCGTGTATCCCGTCAGCTGTAACTGAGTCACACGCAGCATCTAGCTCCCAGGGGCCCTGGGAAGCTATGCGCACCGATGAAACCTGGGCATTCTAATGCTAAAGGAAGAAGGGGAGAATGAATATTAGGGGGCGACTGGCAGATTCTGCCACAGGCAGGGACAGGCCTACCCTGGAAGGTGCAGCCCAAATGCCTCTGCCTGTCATCGAGTTAATTCACCATTTATTGTCACTCTTTGCCAGATGTTGTGCCCGGCCCTGGGACTCAAAAATAAATGACAGTCAGGGGCTTCCCTGGTGGCGCAGTGGTTGAGAGTCCGCCTGCCAATGCAGGGGACACGGGTTCGTGCCCCGGTCTGGGAAGATCCCACATGCCGCGGAGCGGCTGGGCCTGTGAGCCATGGCCGCTGAGCCTGCGCGTCCGGAACCTTAGGCTCCGCAACGGGAGAGGCCACAACAGTGAGAGGCCCGCGTACTGCAAAAAAAAAAATGACACTCAGGTTCTTCCTTTAAGCCTCTCCTTATAGTCTAGAAGGGATTGGGGTGCTCAAGGTTTCTGGGACAGCTGGGGGTGGCTTGGGATGGGGCATGTCCGGGAGGAGATCCACAGCGCTTAGAGATCAGTAACGGCCAACAGTGTTCTCAGCGTCCCAGAGCCTTGCAAAGGCTTGGAGGAGTGAGCCTGGCTGGCCCATGTGGAGAACTTGGCCAGGACCTGTGCTCCATGCCCAGGGATTTGGGCCTCACCCCATGGTGATGGGGCTGGGTAGGGAGGTGGGGGAGGGTGAACCGGTGAGTCTCTGAGTTCTGACCCCAGCTGGTCTTCTCACTCACCACACCCTGTTCCCCGGCCGCTTTGTTCAATGCAAAGGAAGCTTGCCTTTGCACCTTTCCGATGCTGTGCTGTTCCCTCAGCCTAGTTTACCCTTCCCTCTCTTGTTTGCCAGTCCAGATCCCACTCAACCTTTAAGGCCCAGCTGAGTGGTGTGGCCACTCCAGGTCACCGCATAGTCCCCACTAAGAACTCATTAGCTCTATTCTGCAGTCTTGCTATGGTCACAGTATTGCTCCCATTTTATAAACGGGGGAATTGATGCTTCAGTATGCCCCTGGTCCCACAGCTAGAAAGATGCAGCAGGTAGCAGAGGTCCTGATCTATTGTCCTCTCTGCTCGCTGGCCTGGGGATGCTGCCCCGGGCAGCCATTTCCAGATGCAGGGGCAGGAGATCAGCAGCAGGGAGGTGAGCTGGCGGGGCGGGGAATGACGCGGGATAATTCAGAATAATGCGGAGTAGTGTGGAATGATGGGGAGGGAGGAATCCTCGGCTCATGTGTCCAGAGAGCCTTTCTTAAATTACCCCCCAAAATGCTGAGGTTAAATCCTAGGGCCAAAGTCACAGAGCAACAAACTGAGATTTAAATCTAGGACTCTGAATCCCATTTTACTTTATTTTATTTTTTGGAAGCTTAAAGTATACAGAAAAGAAATTCAAAGTATACTGATAGTCTTACCACTCAGAAATAACCACTATTTTTTTTTTGCGGTATGTGGGCCTCTCACTGTTGTGGCCTCTCCCGTTGCGGAGCACAGGCTCAGGACGTGCAGGCTCAGCGGCCATGGCTCACGGGCCCAGCCGCTCCGTGGCATGTGGGATCCTCCCGGACCGGGGCACAAACCCGTGTCCCCTGCATCAGCAGGCGGACTCTCAACCACTGCGCCACCAGGGAAGCCCGGAAATAACCACTATTAATATCCTGATATATATATATATATATATATATTTTTAATTTATTTCCAATTTTTATAGAAGAGTTCATCTTTTCTAAAAGTAATATTAAATGATTCTGCTCAATATAAATAATTCAAACTTTAAAGATGAGAGCTTAAAAATTATCCCAAATATTATCATTCAGAAATTCCTATCGTTTCCTCCAGTGATAATCATTCTAGATGTCTCTGTAGGGATATAGACAGATTTAAAGAGAAATAGACACACTTTTATAAATAGTGATCATATTCCTGTTTAGTAGAGTAGCCACTAGCCACATGTGCCTACTGACCCCTTGAATTGTGGTAGGTTTGAGTCAAGATGTGCTATAAGTGTAAAGTACACAATGGATTTAGAAAAATTAATATGAAAAAGAATGTAAAATATCTCAATAACTTAAAAAATACTGATTACTGGTTAAACTGAGAATATTTGGATATATTGAGTTAAACAAAATATATTAGTAAAATTAACTTCACCTGTTTCTTGTTTCTTTTTTAATATAGCTACTACAAATTTTAAAGTAACATGTGGCTTGCATGTATTTCTATTGGATGGCAGTGCACTATTAGAAAATAAGGTGTTAGTAAGTATTCATGGAGGGAAGAAACTGAATCCGAAGGAATTGTTGAGCTTCAAATAAATGCTTCACCATGTGACAATCATTTCCTAAAGAGTCCAGTAAAGCTTTTTCTTAAAAAATATTTATTTATTTGGCTGCACCGGGTCTTAGTTGCGACATGTGGGATCTTTTAGTTGCGGCACGTGGGATCTTTTAGTTGCGGCACGTGGGCTCTTAGTTGCGGCATACGGGATGTAGTTCTCTAGTGACTAGGGATTGAACCTGGGCCCCCTGCATTGGGATCGTGGAGTCTTAGCCACTGGACCACCAGGGAAGTCCCCAATAAAGCTTTAGGAAGATTGGAGTCATGTTTGTTTTTTTTGTTTAAACATATATTACAGTGTTTTGAAAGATGAGGGCATGGCCCCCGAAGTTCCTCCCAGTTTTTGACGTATTATTGTTTTTGCATCATATTAATTTATAACAGTCATGTTCTGTTTTGTAATTCTCGTAGGCCTGCGGGCCTCTGCCTACATGTCCTTCATCCCGGAGCCCTGGATTTCTTTTTTAGCTGGATTTCATTCTCAGGAAGGACTCATGCTTCTGGGAGGAAGCTGCTGTTTGGGCTGGCCTGTCCACGTGGGCTTTGCTCCGTATCCCCGGGCTCTGTGCCGACATGGCCTCACGGCCCTCGGTGTTGATGTGGCCATGGGGCAAGCCTGACGACCTCCTCATCTTGTAGGCAATTGCTTTCTCTTCTTGGACAGCTGAAGAATTCTTGTGTTCAGTAGCCTAACTCAGCTCTGTTTTTGTGTTGCTTGGTTCCTCCCAGGACCCTCGGTCTCATCTCTAAAAGATTATTTTCGGCTCCACAGTGCACAGACAGAGGCACTGCTGAGAACTATAGATTCAGCAGCTTTGGGTCACTGACCAGAGCACTTGGAAAGGCTCTTGTTACAGCTCTCGGCCTTTGGTAGACCTACTTCCCAAAATCTCAGTGGGTCCTCTGTGATATTTTTTTTAGTTAATTTTAGATTACACAAATAATGGGCAAACCTGTTCTCCTTTCTAGGGCCAGGACATTACAGATAAAGCTAAAGTCTAATTGGCCACTAACCCCCGTTGAGGTTCTCCTTCCTGTACCCCAGTGGTAACTACTGCCATGGGTTTGAGGCATATCCTTCCAGACCTTTAAAAATTGCTTTTATATTTTCATACAATTATGTTCTGTCCCTTCACAGAAAAAATAGACTGTGTTCAGGCTGGTGTATGAATTGTTCCGGGTTTACTCAGAACAATCTGGATGTGTGGATTCCAAAGAGCTGCTCTTAGAGTGAGGTTTTTATTCTAATTAACAAGCCAACACGGACATTAACAAAGAAGTATAAGTAATGCGCTCTTAGGAGCAGAACCTTCATACAAACACTCCCAGATATCATGTCTGTAGAGCTTTGACTTCTAGGCAGAAACAGACTGCATGCATTCAGGTCATTTTGACACAAACTTGTTTTAAGTATCTGAGTACATAAGACTTTCTACCAGCTCATGTCCACATATAAAGCCGTAGACCACAAAAGAGCTAGAAGATTTCACTGCATTGTCTCTGAAAAATACAGAGTATTGGGTTTTGTGTGTTTTGTAGCAATCATGCTGAATAAATCATAAGACAACTTTGTGTTTTCTACTGAACTTGAGCTCTGTCCACATTAACGAGTATCCATCTTTCTAGTTCAATAAATATGGGACAGAGGAATGAATGCTTGAGCTACCACCCTTTTGCTTTCATACTCTGGAACATTCTTAACTAATTAAGAGAATTCACTGTAAGATGGTCCTGAGGTCCTTGGGGAGTTCCCAGCACACAGACCATTCCTCACCCCCATTTAGCTTCTCACTGTGTTCTTTGTAGATGACATGGCAGAACTCCTCCTTGGGGAATCAAAGCTGGAGCAGTACCTGAAGGAGCACCCCCTGCGGCAGGGGGCCAGTCCCCGAGGCCCCAGGCCCCAGATGACTGAGGTCCGCAAGCATCTGACCGCTGCCCTGGACCGAGGGAACCTCAAGGTACCGTGGACCTCGGGATGAGGGCTTAGAGGGATACGCTGGCTCTACCTCCTCTGGGCAGCGTGTGCTCAGGAAGGATGCCCAGGGACGAACTGGGCGACAGGCAGAGCACATCTGTGGCTTGTCTTCTGAGGAGCAGGCCAACTCCCTGTGCAATTGATGTGGGGCTTCCAGACCAATAGCTTCTCTCTGATGAGAGTCTCTAATGACACATTATCCTGAGAAATGGCACTAATCTTCCCCAGGTGCTTGGAATAAAGCTGTTATCTGTGGCCCAGGACTCAATCTGACACTTCGTCCCACTGAGAAGAGAGAAGTGAATCAGGAGTGTCACTTAAACCGCATGATATCCTGCCTGAAATGTGCAGCTCGTGAATGTCCCAGGCAGCTCTGGCCCGGAGCGGGGTGCACATTGGCGCCGGCAGGCCTGGTACCTTGGTGTGGGAGGGAACCAGGGCAGGAACTTCCCTCTGCCTGAGCAATGACCCTAATCCTCATGGCACAGGAAACCCTAAGCGCTGCCCTTCTCATCTGCCCTGTTTCCTGGTCTCTGTATTCAGCTTTCCCTCTCCATTTCACGTCTTTCCTTGCTTGCTTCACTGAATCTTTTTCACCTTGCCTTCCCTCCCCCCTGCCCCCTTCCCCACCCCTCACTTACTGGTTTCTGGACACTTCCCTGCCTGAAGTCTGGCTCTTAACTGGTTTCCTGAAGTCAGCCTTGTTCAGATAGCTGACTGCATCTCAGCACTCCTGCCAGCTTCTTCAGGGTCCCTTTAAAATCTCGGATGTATTCTCTGTTGGGGAAGGGCAGTCTTCAGTGAACTTTTAAAGCTCTTCCTTTCTTCCTTCCTTCCTTCTTTCACTTTTCTTCAGAGTTAGGGACAGTTGTCTCCATGTCAGTTGTTCTTAACGAAGATGGTTCTGGTGACATTGGTGGGTCCTAATCAATGGGAAAGGGTGGGGGGACCTCATAGTGACAGCTGGTCAGACTCAAGTGTCCTTCCAGGAGGTATAAGGGTGAGACTCTGTGTTGGGGGGAGAGGTTGAAGATCACTGCTCCAGGCCTCGCACCTGGCTAGTTTCTATTGCACTTCGAATCCCCCTACCTTCATCCGGAAAAATTAACCTTTAATTTTACCACATGTTCATAGTTTTTGCTCTCCATCCTCCACAACCCAGTGCGGTAGTAAGAACATTGAATTTCAACTTAGAATTCTGAGTTTGCTTTCCAGTTGTGGATTTATAAGCTGTGTGATTGTGGGAAGTTACTTAAGCTCTCTGAGCTTCACATTTCTTATCTGTTAAGTGTACTTAGCTCAAGGCCATTCTGAGTCTCAGCTGTAGAAGTTCTTTCACAACTGGATAGCGCGAGATACATGTCAGTTTTTGCTATTTTATTGGTTCTACCTAGAGAATTTTTCTCCTGCTGCCATTTTTGAGCTCCCTCTGCCTTATAAAGAGTGTTCCAAAGTCATATTTGGAACATATCTTGCTTGGGTGGATTGACCCACTCACCCTGGCTGATGTGAAATTTCCTCTCCTCCTGACCTTAAGTTCGGGTGTCTCCTAGCTGGGAGCTAGGGAAAGCCCTGTGCAGACACAGGTGCCCACAAAACACAAGTGAACTGAGGCTGGAGAGACAAGAACGAGGTAGCCATGTGGTGGCAAAAAGAGCCGGGACGAGGAGTCAGGAGGCCTGGCTTCTGATTCAACTCAAGAAAGTTGCGCTTGTCACAGGCAAGGTAACATGGCACCGGGCTGGAGCTGCTCCCCTCTCCCCCACGGCCCAGGGGCCTCGGCCAAGCTGTTTCCTCCTCTGCACATAGATTGGACTTGCCCAGCAAGGCTCTCCATACTGTGCATCCATACTGCGCCTCTACTCTTGGAATTTTCTTCAAGCTCCTGCATATTTTCCATCTGGCCCTTCAAGTTTACCTTTTTTTTTTAAATTAAAAATTCTTTCCGGTTTAATTTTTAAAACTTTTTTTTGTGGTAAAATATAAATATCATAAAATTTGCCATTTTAACCATCTTTTAGGTTCAGTGGTTTTAAGTGCATTCGTATTCAGATCACCACCGTCTATCCCCAGAAACTTTTCATCACCCCAAACTGAGGCTCTGTGCCCAGCAGACACTAACTCCCTCCCCCTCCCCCTCCCCCTTCAGGTTGCTTTTCAGCCTATGGGTCTCAGTTCTGGGGAAAGAGGGAGGACACAGGAATCTCCTAGGAAGCCTTTTCAATATACCCAAGCCTGCCCTGTCCCCTTCCCTGGTGGAGAGCCCCTGTGGTGGATGCTTTCTTTTCACAGCTCTTTTTCTCTTTTCTTAAGTCTGCTTTGATTTCTTTCTCTGTTTCCAAATATAATTCTGACGTCTTGCATTGGTGCCGCTCCCTTGGGCCACTCTTAAAACCCTTTTGCTCCCTTCATTCTCTTGCCTGTTCTATGTCCTCTGTAGCGCTACCCCTGCTCCCTTTCAGGGACTGCCTGGAAGCCGACCACCTTGGCTGAAACAGCGGCTTCGCCGTGCTCTGGCTGGTTACCTGCATATCGTCCACTCCGTCTCAGCCATAGATTACAGGATAGCGCAGCTTCATGGTGTGCTTCTGTAAGCTGAAAAATCCGGCTTTGTATACCTGGGGTTCCAATGAGAATGCCTAGAAGAGGGTGATAAATCTGTGTCCTTATATAGATGGCTGGGTCGCCTCTTCTTTCCCCAGTGATGAGTGGGGCTCGAGGATGGGCTGAGGATGAGGTTGGTGGGTGTGGACTGGGGAAGCCAGCCTCTCCTGATGGAGAGGAAGACGAGCCCATCAGAGTTAGAACTTGCAGCCTCTGGGAAGGGACCTGAGTCAGTAACCATAACAAGCTGGAATGGCTCAGCGAGAAAAGTTTGTCCCTGGAAAGAAAGCAAGTCCTGAATTTTGCACCAATTTAGAAAGCCTCTCTCCTTGGGTTATTTGGGTTACAGTCTGTGTTATACCCCCAGTGCCGTGGGCAGGACCCACCAGGATGTCCGTGGAGCCTCCTTTTCGGAGACAGGTGCTCGTGTGTTTTGTTCATAACGCACGCCTTCCATTCTTGACCCAAACCTGAGGCCTGAGGGGAGGCTGTTTTACAGCAGATTTTTATTTTTTTTTTTGCGGTACGCGGGCCTCTCACCGTTGTGGCCTCTCCCGTTGCAGAGCACAGGCTCCGGACACGCAGGCTCAGCGGCCATGGCTCACGGGCCCAGCCGCTCCGTGGCATGTGGGATCCTCCCGAACCCGCATCCCCTGCATCGGCAGGCGGCCTCTCAACCACTGCACCACCAGGGAAGCCCCACAGCAGATTTATTGAAGTATAATTCACATGCCATATAATTCATCCATTGAAAGTGTACAATTCCAGAGCTGTGCAACCATTACGTCAATTTTAGAACATTTTCATCTCCCCAGAAGTAAACCTGTAGGTATTAGCAGTCATCTCTCATGCCCCCATCGTGCAGCCCTAGGCAACACCAGTCTGCTTTCTGCCTCAGCAGGCTCGACCGTTCGGGCCAATATATGTCGCCTGTGTGACGGGCTTTTTCACTCGGCGTCATGTTCTTGAGATTCACCCGTGTGGTCCCAGGGGTCAGTTTTTCATTCCTGATGATGGCTGAGTAATATTCCGGGGGACGGCGAGACCACATTTTGCCTCCCCCCTCATCAGCTGCTGGCCACATGGGCTGTTTCCGCTCTGGGGCCCCTGTGAGCAGTACCAACAGGAAGGCTCCCACGCCCGTCTTTCTGTGCAGAGCCGCGGGGCCCCATGGGAGCATCACACATCATATCGTAGGAAAATGTTTTTTTCTCTCCTTTTCCTTCTAGTCAGAATTCCTACAAGAGTCCAATCTGATCATGGCCAAGTTGGATTATGTTGAAGGAGACTATGAAGCCGCTCTCAACATTTATGCCCGGGTGCGCCTGGAAGACTGGCCGCTGACGGGCGTCCCCCCTTACAGGTTGCGGATGGCCGCGGACGCCTACGCCACCAAAGGTGAGGCCCACGCCTGCTCTCCTGGGGGCCGTGCCCCGGGTCGCGCTGTCTGGAGCTGCAGGGCCTCCCTGGATCCTGCGGTTTGACCCCTGTGCCCTTGGCTGGGCTTAACCCCGGCAGCTCCCGGCGAGGCCCCTGGGGTTGCCCCACCACAGGCACTGGATCATTTTAAGTCCAGCGACACGGCGTTTCCTTAGAGCTGCAGCTCCTCAGTTGTCCCCGAAGGAACAACATTGCAGTAAAGTTTCCTGATGATCGATGTGCAGCTTAAGCAGGGACCGTTCTTGGTAATGAAGATGCCACACAGCGTATATACAGGGATCCTTATCATATGGCCAGTCGGCCATGTGGCTGATCTCATTTTTATTCATCAGTGCCACCTCTGGGTTAATTAAGGCTCAGTGGTCACTGTAACAGCCCGTCATGCAGTGTTTACCTGGGGGCCTAGGGGCTCAGGGGATAGAAGGGGGAAATGTTGCCCTGGTTGCCACAGAGGAGTTTGTAATCTAATGTGAGGGAGTGCAGTCCCACGGGAAAAAAAAAAAAATGACAGAAAGCCAGGGCACACACATTATTTGACCTTTCCAAGCCTCCTCTTCCTCATCTATGAAATGAGTATAATCACATCCACTTCACAGACTTATGAGGATTAAGTCACATAATGTATGTAAAAGCACTTACTAAATGATATTTTTAAACGTCAGCCCCAAACAAAACAGCAAATGGAAAAAGCCAGGCCCGGTAACAGCTTTTCAGAGGCAGGGGAGGTCACTGTAGGCCAGCAGGGCCAGGAAGGCTTCCTGGAGGAGGATGGACACTTTGAAGTAGATTTATAAAGGCCTCAGTAAGAAGGAGACCCTCTGAAAGCAGCTCCTCTCCTTCCTGCCACCTACCATGCAAACCATGCAATGTGGCTGACTGTGGCCACACAGAGGCTCGGGCCCTGGGTGGGTTGACCCTCTAGAACAGCATTGAGCTGGCCACTTGTCTGCAGCCGGCTGTCTGTCTTGGTTATCCTATGCAATGTTGAACAAAGACCCAGCCAAGGCACACTTAAAGAGCCTTGTGACAGGGGTGACATATTCACCCAGTTCCCTGGGGAGCCTTGCTCGAGCACTTTTAGGTTCCTCTAATTAATCTTCTCAGGGTCCCTGTGGGCTGGGAAAGGATGCTGTCACTCTGACAGGGCACTCTGGTGGTTTACTGGGCACAGTCCTTTGAGGCTGTCTCAGGGGTTCTGAGGGCCTGGACCTGGGCGTGCATCTGTCTGAGGTCTGTGCCACACAGCTGCCCTCTTTTCTCGCTGGTGTTCACCCAGCGCCTCACGTGCCTTAGGCTTATGGGAGCTGTGTGCGTGTGTGCGTGTGCGTGTGTGCGTGTGAGAGAGAGAGATTTGGGGCCAGGAACAATATTGTGCAACAAGAGCAAGGCTTCATCTGGCAGTTTCCAGTCACCTGATTGACCTGGGGCCTGCAGGCTTGTAGCCAGGAGTTGGTTTGTCCTTTGGGGGTGGAGCATGGCTCTAAGACCGGGTTAGCACCAAGAGCTCAGGTCTTGATTTGGGCTCTGAGACGGCCTGGTGGGGCAGAGTGTCTGCAGGTGGCACCACCAGCTTAGTCTCACGCCTGCCATGCAAAGTGGGCAAGGGGGACGGGAGGCTTGGTCCCCAAGTCTGGCCCTGGCTGGTGTGTGATTAGCAGTGGGCCCCAGCCACGGGGCTGAGGCGTTTGGCTGTTGGGACATGCTGGCTGGCTCATGGGAGAAGGGAACAGCTGTCCCCTCACTTCACCAGAGTAAGACTGGGCTGGAGCAAAGCCCGGGTGCACCTTGGATGGGCATGCACCAGCCCACGCCCCTCCCCTGTGCCACCTGTATGCTGCTGTCAGCCGGGGAATTGACCTGCACACTTTCACAGGTCACCTCAACTTTTCCATGGTCCCCTGAGGTCTGACTCGACCCAGTCTCTCAGCCAGAGTCAGTGTCCATGAACTCCCACATCTGCTCTTGCAGCCATGGCCGGGAGCAGATTCCCCTGGCCAGGTAATATAGCCTCGGCTTGTTGGGCATCAGAAGCCAACATGATTCAGTTATGAGAACCTCCTATGGGCCAACACCACGTTAGGGTTTTATTGTCTTTTTAATCCTCCAAACCCCTAATTTACAGACAAAGGAAATGAGACTGGGTGAGGTTACTAGGAATGATATGGTGCCTACTGTGTGCCAGGCACTGTGGCCCTTATTTGGGTATCTCAGCCAAGCTTCACCATCACCCTATGAGGTAGACACTATTATTTTTTCCATTTTACAGATGAGAAAACCGAGGCACAGGGATGTTAGATATGCTGCCCGGGGCCCTACAGCTGGGAAGTGGTAGAGCCAGGATTCAGCCTCAGTGGCTGGTTCCAGAGCCCATGCTCTCCTACTGAGTGACAGGAGGGGGAATTAGTCTGAAGAGTGTTCAGCTCCAAAGCCCACGTTCTTAATTACTCTGCTCTGTTGGCACGTGGATGGGAATGCGCTCAGGCCAGGTAAGGTTTCCGCAGGTAGAAAACATTCAGGTCACTAGAGAACACCCTAGATTTGTGTCCACACTCCTCCTCTCAGCCCCACCTCTCACGTTCCTCTCCCTTAACTCCTTGCCCAGGTCCCTTGCTGTAAGTTCTGGCCCTTAAGCTCACATGTCCTGTCTTCCCTGACACCCTCCAGGGCTCACCCATTCAGAGGCCATCGCATTTGATAGTATCACAGCCCAGTAGGTTAGAACTACTCAAACATCATATTAGAACTAGTTGTACTGCGATCAGACACTCCTGCCAGTCTGTGAGTTCCACTCAGGGAGGAACTGTTTTGTTCGTTTGCCATCCTCAGAAACTAGCACGGTGTCTGGTACCTAATTGGTGCTCAATTATTGATTGAAATTTATAGAAGTTCCCTTGCTCAGATTTCTACCAAGGTGCCCATCGTGTAATTCAGGTGATTCTGGGTGCCTTTGCTTCTAGCTGTCATGGTCAGGTGCATTCCCAGGGGTAACATACTGGGCATATTTCGATAATTCAGACTTACTCGCTGCCAGTTACGGGGTATACCTATAAGAGCATGTTGACATCACACCATGACAGAGGCTGGCATGGATCCCTTCCCCAAAGGTTATACATTTCAGTTCATTGCCGTTATCAGAGAGCCTCTCAATGGATCTCAACCCCCCCCCCTCCGCCCATCCCCCCAGCGCCTTCCTCCTATCCCTTAAAACTAAGTAGAGAAACAGAGAATGGGAATAGAAGACATGGAGAAACTCTTTAGCTTCTGGTAGAACTGGGTTAATCAAGTGAGTAGAAATCTTTATTCTGGGTACAGATTGAGATATCACGTGAAATCTCCGGGACACGGAATGGCCACAGATGTTCTTTTCCCAAAGGGAGAGGCTTGGGAACAGTGAACACATGGTCACTGTCTATTTTGGGACTTCGATCTGCTGGACATCGGCTAACTTGCTGCAGCTAGGACAGTGGGAGCTGTAAGTGGCTTGCCTTCCTAGAGATGGCCTTTATAAGTAGCCTTGGCATGTACCCTGTTGTAATAGAGGGACCACAGATGCATTGGCTCCAGTCTGAGGGAAGGCCTGTGACAGTCCTGCGATGGCCCACCTGGTCACGGTGGGTAGGCAGCTGTGTTCTGCGAGGTTGCTGTTCCTCCCCCGTCTGCTAGGGCGCAGTCCTCATCTGTGTGATGGATGACTGAAGCTGGGTGGCTGGCATGTTGCAGCTCGTGGAAAGGGGAAAGGAGAGAGATGTCTAGGGGGAGCAGAAGTAACACACATCAGCTGTGCTGGCAGTGCATTGGTGAGAAGTCACTATAGGGCCATGGCCACCAGGCACTTGGGAAAAAGAGGAGACTGGGGGGGGGCATGTAAGCCTCTCATTAGACGTGTCCATCAGAGCTTGGTCTCGGACCCAGATGGGACCTGTTGGAGGATGCAGGGAGAAGAAAGTAGCCTGTGCTCAGGTGAATGAAAGGGAATGCGTAGGATCTGAGGCTTGGGATTGGTGCCCATGAGGAGGGAAATTATGAACCTGGAAACAGCAGCGTGGTATTAAACTTCCTTTCCAGATTGCATGGTACCAAAGCAGAGAAGGACTGACTCCAAAATATAAACAGGGCCTTCACAACCATCTCTCATACAAATGTCTTATTTTCCAGCGGGGGAGACTGTGCCAGAGAAGGTAAGGGACTTGCCCAATGACACAGAATGAACTGGAGGCAGGGCCCCGACACGGAGGTGTTTCTTGGTAGGAAACGTTCCTGTCAAGCTGCATGACATCTGCCCAGGTGGAGAAGGCGGTATAGTGTTGGGAGCTTTGTGGGGCCTCCTCCACTTTCTTTATTCCTCCTTTGTTCCTGGGTTTGAAATTGCTCCTCTGACACACTGACTCAGAGCTTGGGGTGTTGGAGCCAGACTTCCAAGTTTGATCCGTAGCTTTGTCACTTACTAGCTGTAGGATCTAGTGCAAATTACTTTCACCTCACTGGGGCTCCATTTCTTCATCTATAAAATGGAGATAATAATAGTATCTACACTGTAGCATTGTTGTGGGGAAGGAGTGAACACATGTAAAGCACTTAGCACAGCACCTGGCAGATCAACAAAGGTTAGCTGTTTTTATTTTTATGTATCCCTGGAGCTTGAACCCAAATGGATAGATCTCTTCAGAAGCCCCAGGTAACAGCCAGCTATGGGGAGAGGGGAGAGTTGCCCTAGTGTATCTGCCTTGTGTAGCAGAGGGCTTGGCTCAGGCTGTGGGAGCGCAAGCAGAGATTGGAGGCTTAGGGAGGAAAGGCTGTTGGTGCTGGAGGCTGGGGGGCACCCAGTGGTCAGGGGCAGGTGGAGTGGGTACCGTAATGGGACTTCTTGAGGGTGGGTCCAGAGACAAAGTTCATCCTGCACTTCGTCAGCCTTGTCCCGGGCTGGCCCGGAAGGTTAGAGGGTCTTTAGAGTTGGAGCC